GTGTCAGTATTGTTTCTCATCATATTTCTATTAATTTTAACATAAAATTACTTTCACTAAGGTTTTCTTTTTTTGAAATATAGAAGCCTTTTTCATTTAAAGGAGGCAGTGGTAAATTTAAATGTTTCTGTGTTTAGTTGTCTTGACCCTAAAGTTGCCTTTTTAAATGCAGCTTGATTCTGAATTTGACTTTTTTACAGTTGATATATATTTTTAGGATTGCCTTTTATCTTTCATTCTGTAGTGCATTAACCGCTCTAAAAATGTATTGCGTATTTTCTTTTTTCTTTTTTTTTTACCTTTTTTACTTCCCTATCTTATAGTTAGTAGAACCTGAAGGCACAGTTGGATTAGCTATTGCTTTTCTCTCTTTTAACAAATACTTAATATTTAAACCTAATAGAGTAACTTGAGCCCCAAATTTTGGGATTAGTATCTTTTCCAAAAAGATGAAGAAAAAAATATATTGATAAATCTTGGAATTTGGTTAGATTCTTAAAATAATCTAGTAGGTTTCTTTCACTCTCATTATATTTTCTTCTCTTTTAGGTTATTGCTTTCCATGCTCTATGTTCCTTAATTTCCAGACTTTCTTCCTTATTTTAGTATTTACAAGGTGTATTCTGTTTGATAATATATACAGGGTTGTGGTTTAGCTATAACCTTTTCTTGGAAGCTAAGCAGGGTCGGGCATCCTTAGTGCTTGGATGGGAGATACAGCCTTTTCCTCCAGATACAACACAATATTGTGGCTAACTAATTCTAAGGAAGCTGGGCTTTGTTTGTCTGTTTGCTTTTTTGACAAGATCTCTCACTTTTTTAAATTTAAAAATGAAATTGGATGTTTTTGCAATATCCAGTTTGTTTTCTTACTAATTTTTGGTCTGGAAAAGAACTTAGAAAATTTATAATGGGTCTTGTAATTTAGCTAAAATTTGTGTCACCTCAGGATAACACCTGTGAAGTTTCAGGTGAAACCTGTGAAGTTTTACGTAGAAATTAACCCTAGATGCTGATGGGCACCCCCCCACCCCACCAAAAAAAAAGAGACTCCATGAAACTAATATTTATGATGATTTTTATTTCCTTTAGGATAAGAAAGCTTAACTTTAGACATCAGCTGCTTGACAGAGTTCTCCTTAACTTCTTGTTTTTTGACCAGTGGGCTTCATTCATTTGTAAAACCTTTACTGAATTTATTTAACTCAAGTGTGTATAGGGGCTGGAGTTGCAAAGACTCACTGCTTCTCTTAAGGATGTTCTTTCATTTTCTTCTTAATGCCAGTTGGGCCTGATCTGGATATTTGAAGGGATTTGTGGGAAATTCTTATTCTTTGCAGAAGTGCCTTAGAACTAGTAAGAATTAATGATAAAAGATAAGAAGAAGATATTTCTGTGTCATGTTCCCAGTTTAGAGTGAAAGTGAAGTTTCTCAATTGTGTCCGACTCTTTGCAACCCCATGGACTGTAGCCTACCAGGCTACTCTGTCCATGGAATTTTCCAGGCAAGAGTACTGCAGCGGGTTGCCATTTCCTTCTCCACGGGATCTTCCCAACCCAGGAATTGAACCTGGGTCTCCTGCATTGTAGGTAGACGCTTTATTGTCTGAGCCACCATGTGACTCTTAAGATGTTTTATTTTATGAATTGTCTGTAAATTTCTAATTTAGACTTCAAATTAGTCTTCGTAACACAAGAGAATAGAAATCATAGTCTTGGTAGAAATGTGTTACCTTCCATTTCATTGCTTAAAAATGATTGGTGAATCTTTCTCTTTTCGTTGATATTAGAAATGCTTAGACCTAATAAATGTTATATGCTTACTTAGTAATTTAGTGTTGAGAACAAATATTGCAAATAGTTTGTACATTTCAGGAGAGTTTCTTAAGAGTGGTATTTATATATAAAATACTTAGATTGTTTCTGATTTAAATGTAACTTAATATTCAGTAAGAATCTTTAAACTTTAATAATGGAAAAAACTAAAGTGATAGATGAATAGACCTTCTGCCACTTTGTTTGTGTTCTTCTGTTGCATTTCAGCGTTGCTGATTTTTTTAGCTTTGGTTTGTAATTTCTTCTTTACTGGTTGAACTGTAAATCCTGAAGCAGAGTAATTTCTTTTTTCCCTCTTGAAACATCACATCGAAGAATGCTGTCTATTAAAACAGAATTAGGTTAGGTCCTACTGTGTCTTTCTTGTGAGCCTCAATCAGTAGTAGTCTTGCAAAGGCTATTTCTTGTTTGAATAATGTTCTCATTTTGAAAGTGCCTTTACGTTTTTCTGTGTAAGTGATTATCAATCCATAGTCTTCATAAATTAACTCCTGAAGCAAGAGAGATACAGTTCTCCTCAGTGATTCAAATAATTCCTATTTAAGGAAATCTGTTTAGTTCATTTTTGAGTATGAATATGTTGAATCCACAAGTTTTGGCATACTTAAGGCAAAATAGAGAAGTGATATCTTGAGAGTAATCTGACTTGGGAGAATTTCATAAGTGGGTCTATTTCTCCAGCCAGCTCTTATTTTACTTACCCTATAACTTAACCTAAGGACATTGGGTTTTTTTATACTAAGTTTGTTGCCTTTTTAATTTATATATTCTGTGGGGCCTGGTAAATCAAGGATTTGGAGCTCCTACTTAAGGAGAAAGTGTAAATTTAGACCATTATTAATCTGACCAAGATAATGATTTCTTGGGAGTTGTTTCTCCTTTTCAAAGTGAAGTGGGCTTCTAAATTTAAATTACTGAGTAATTGAGTAATTTTTTTCCATAATGGAATGCTCCCTTTTTGCCTGTATTTTCAATCAGATATGTCACTATACTACTGATTAGTATTTATAAAATGAGGAAAAACTAGGAAATTTGGAAAGTCATATCTTTATAGTTTCTGAATATATTTTAAACTGTATCTTAGTTAAGTTTTACTTAGCTCTCATTTATTTGGGAGTCTTTAAATTTTCATGATTTATATTGAAATATTATTAGGTATGAAAAAGAATGTCAAGAAAATTGATTAGAAAAGGGTAGAGGTTGATTGTTTAATAATTTTAAAAGTGCTTTTGTCATACCTGTTTCCACAGTATAGGTCCACTGAAAACAAATGAGATAGCTCTGATGTATCAGTTTTAAGCCTTTCTCATCTGTTAAAGAGCCACTCCTTAAGAACTCCAGCTGTGGAATACTTTGCTAATCTATTTGTGACTTTTGACCCTTGAGAATACCTATTTAGATTTTGTTTTCTTGAGAGGTTGAATATTCAGATCTTTTCTTTTTGTGCTCTTTTCCTCTTGTTATCCCTCACGTTCCTCCTAATGTGATTTTACTGTAAAGTAATGTTTAAAGACCCTGGGATTTTAAATCTATTGGAAATTTGAAATGAAAAAATAGCTGCCACATACACTCATAAAATACTGTTGTAGTTATTAATTTGATATCTCTTGTTAGATGACAGTTTCACCCCCTTGACTTCCTTTTACTTCTTTTTTCATTTCTTTAAAATTTGGAAATTATAGATTTGATGGTTAAATTTATAGGTTTTCTAAGTCTGAACCATTTTCATTTCTCACTTGTAGAGAATTGAATATATTCCTAAGGTACCAAAGGGTTATATTACCTTATTCCTTCATCTTCAGGCTTAAAAATTTTTTTCTTACTCTAATTGTTGTTAGGTAATGGAATAACCATTCCTTTTCAGCTGTTGGCATTTTTCCAAACTGGCTGGCAGAGCCAGGAGAAAGTGAAGGCATTAAAACTAACTTTGGTTGGTTGCTACCTTCTTAGTGCTGAACCTATAACCTTTGTGGGTTGATTGATAGAGAACAAGAGAGTGCAGTCCTCGTTCCACTAACAGGTAAGGAACCCTTGTGATAACCAGTTGGGGTGAGAGAGAGAAATTATTTGATAGCCTTTTTTCTTAATTTATCCCCAAATATAACATGTCCCTGAAGTCGGACAGTGACTGCCCATGTTCCATACAGCAGGAGCATACAGCACCTTTCTATTTAGAATAAGATCTGAAATTTAATAGGGTTGTATCATTCTGTACCACAAAATATAGTTGATCTGTTTTCCACTGTTAAAATTTATCCTGCAGTCCCTCTAACTTTAAATATTATATATATCTGCCTATCTTATTCTCCTTTCAGCTTTTCCTTGATCAGATACTATGTGCTTTGAACTTCCTCTCTTGTTCACCTTATTTCTATAATAAAGTGAACTATTTTCCAGTATCTTTACCATCATCTATTATTTGGGTATATCTTTACCGCTTTAATTTCTGCATTGAAGCCATTAATGATTATTTCCTGGTCCTTCTTGACCCCAAACCAAATGATCATGTTTGAAAAGGATTTTTAGTCCGTATTGCCTATGTCCACTATTCTGCCCTCCCACTTATAAAGATGAGTGCTTGAAGAATAAATCTTTTTCAGTGACAGTAGGCATAGCTTGATAAAATTCAGGTTTATTGTTATACTGCTATAATAAGGGACTGTAGTCTGATTAATTCTTTAAATTACTGAAGAATTAAAAAACTGAGAACAAATTCCGCTTCTTAAGGTTTAGTGGTATTCCTGTTAACATGCTTGATTATTCTATTTCTGCTTTTCAATCCATCGTCTTCTCTTTGACAGCAGAATTAATTGGGACTCCTCCTTTAATATATCTGAGGTCAAGTGCCTTTGCCTGTCCCTTTAAGACACTTATGATCTTGTTTACCAGTCCTAATTTATCATTTTTATATTTGGTCTTCCACTTGAAGTTGAGTGGTTTGTCACACACTATGTTATGACTTAGACTGAACTAGTTCCCTTCTTAATAGTTACTGAGTAATTAATCATTCGTGGTTAAAGACTTCTAAAATTCAAATTAAGAAGGCACTGAAGAATGTGTGCGCAGAGGTGGCTCCTTTTTGTCCCGAGGATAAGTCATTACAAGCTCAAATGATCAGAGAATGTAATTTCTTAATAAGAGTTTTTTCTTAAATCTATATTCAGCTCTCTATTTCAGTGCTTCTCTCCTACCAGAGGTGCAAGGAGTGATCCTAGAACCACAGATACAGCCAAGACCACGGAGAGCTTTTGACGTCAGGGGTCCACTTTCTCCACTGAACCTTTGGAGGCAGAATATCCAGCTTCTGGAGAGAGTTGGGAAAGGGTAATAAACAAGTGGGTGCTTTCCATTATTTACTTGGGTTTATTTATAGACTGGAGTGTCCTTCCATTGCCCATGTAATTCTGTTGTTTACTCCTTGGGTTCATAGAAGAACCAAGTGGGGCTGCAATCTGTTTGTTTTTCTAAGAATGCTAACTAGTGCCCTTTCAGAAAAGAGACTTAAGATGTAGTTAATTTTCTCTCCAGATAATTAAAGCAGTGGCTGATTTGGGGGCACTGATTTGGTGAATGCCTGTGTAGTCCACAGGAATTTTTAAAAGGAAATATTTTCCCATTTTAACCTTTACTGGTATTAGTGTACTTCTCAGTGCTCTTTTATATTCCAGTATTTAAGAAGTTTCTGTATTTTGTCTTTGGGCAAACTGGACATCTGAATTTTCCTAATTTACACCATCTGATGTCCAGGTGTTATCCTGCCCTATTAGTGACAACTTTTTGGTCTATTCTCCTATGTTGAACTTTAGGACTTCATATCAGGTAGATCTTTAACAAGATGCAATGATAGTACCATTATGGTTTTACTGTCAAATCTAGCCTTCATTCTTTAATACAATACATACGAATGAATGTTTCAGGAGATACTATCCCTGAAAGCTTTGTTAAATATACTCACAAGTAGTTTTCCAGTCCCTAGGAATAATGTTATTTGTGGCAAAAGAACCTTGTCCTAGATTTTCCCCATGGCATTAATACAGTTTTCTGTTAGTATCTTTGATGCCAAGGGTAGGATTTGATTTCAGGAAGTTCTTATCATCTACAGTGGGTAGAACATGAACTTTGGTGCCTTTGGCAAGTTTTCATTTTTTCCTTGGTGGATTCCTTCTGTAACTCCAGGTATCTTGATAATGGGAGACCGGTTTATTTGTTCTCTAATTGCCCAGATTTCTTTCAACTGGTAAACATCCTCCTTCAGCCAAAGGAACTCCTCTAGCAGAGCCTTCATGGATGATATCTGTCACACATGCAGCAACTGCAGTTTGGAAGGCAGTGGTGAACGGAGCCACGCACTATATCTAGAAGACACAAGGATGAGAGAGCCACCTGACCTTGCCATTGACAAACTTTAAGAATTCTCTCTGGTGTACTCTTGATCTGGAAATGGAAAGGCTCAGATAATGACGTAATTTTCTCAGATTGGAACTTTACATGACCATGAAACTATTCCTTTCTATTCAGAAGACTGAACTAGAGGAAGCATGAGAGACTCCTTTCCTTAAAAAAGCAGCTCTCTATCTGTTTCACTTAAAAGATTTGTGGGATTGAAAATCACCTTAATGAAGCAGGCAGACTTTCTGGTAGTCTCGGAGACCCAGAAAACTTAATGAAACTTGTTTTATGTTGCCCAACACTGAAAAGAACTAGGAAGTAAAGGGTGAAAATCTTAATTATTCCTAAATTACTTTTAATATTAGGATGTACTTTTTCAGTTTATCTTTTTCTAGTCTTGAGCCTTATTCTTGTCGAATCAGCAGATTCCAGTATAGAAGTAGAGGCACCTTCTAAGTTAAGTCTTTTAAAGTAAATACCTGTTAAACCAGAGGTATTGTTCTGCATTTGCAGGCATTCTAAAGTTGAATGATCCTGAAACAAAGAGTTATTTTATAGAGCAAAGGCAAGTAGTAGTAGTAGAATAAGCCTCTGTGTGTGAAATAAGTGTTGCAAGAAAGTTATCCAAACTATGGATTTGATAAATTGATGGAAGTAGCTCTCAAAATGTTTTATTTCTCTTTTTAGTATCTATTAAACTAGTCAGTTGAAAGCTACTAATAGAAGTTTTTTAAAGTTATGTGATGCTGCCAGTTTGTGTTATTTGGTTTAAATTTTAAGAATAGAAATTCTAGAGATAACGCTGTGGAAGCATCTAAATGTTTTAGGAATCTTAAGAGGTTTTAGAAACCACACTTGCTAGGTTATAACCTGGCCTTTAGTCTTTGTTGGCTATGTGTGGGACCCGTTTTCCCCTCAATTATACATAAACTTTTGTATGTATGGTACTTAAAAGTAAGTTTAGAAGATCAATTTGAGCTAAAATTTCCTGGGAGAGCTCTGAATTCCCATAAACAATCACAACTTTTTACTCTTGATTTGCTTTTGTTAAAAGTTAATAAGATAGTTTTTACAAACACATATAAATTAAAAAACAACTACTCAACATTTTAGAAGGAACTCAGGGAACTGAAGGCCAGTTTATGGCCTTTTGTTTCAGTTTTGAAGAGGAATGATTTAGTCTCTTAATCCCATTCATCTCATGCTTTGATTAAATTTTAGCTTTGTTCCTTAAAGTGTGCAAAAGAAATGTAAGTGCATTTCTATTCATCTCATGCCACTGAAAGCTATTTAAAAGTGAAACATGTATATTAATGTGAACTGATTTGTTTAAACTTTTATTTTGATTTTCTTTCAAATTTTTAAATATTTCATGTCACAATATGCAATCCTATATTTTTCAGTGTTTATTTTATGAATATTAATATAAGCTAATTTTTTTTCTAGAATGACTAATTGTGTAACATTTGTATTATGTGATCATTTGAAAAACTAATAAATATTTTCTCCATGAAAAAAATGCACTTACTGATAAATGGCTAATTTTTCTTTCAGGAGTAGAAAATGGAAACTATAACAGTATTTTTAAATGTATTTTAATTTTATGTGTCTTCCTCTTAAGTATTTCTGAATATATATTCTATCCTTGTATGTGTTAAACTTTTTTGAGAAAAAAATTATTTAAATTGTTGAATTAAAATGACTTTTCATTGGGTCACACAGTGCCAAATTAAGGAAATAGGTGATCTATTTAGTCTTGTTTTTGCACTTCACTGATTAACTTCACCTTAGCTTTGTTTCCAGAATTGGGTTTTTTTAGATGCCATTTTCGTATGTCAATTTTGCAAACCATTAAAACTCTTGAGTTAGTATTGAAAATATCAGGAGTAATATGCTCAAGTCTTTTTTATAAAGTGAGATCTTGATAAACATAGACCCTTACCTAATTGCATACAGAAGACATTTCTTCTAGTCAGAAAAAGAATATTTAAGAATAGTGACTTATTGGAGAACTGTTCAATTAGTGGGTGCTGTTAATAGGAGAAAGTATTTTACATTTTGATGTTCTGCTTGAACAAGTAATTGTAGAAAGGGAAATCTTAACTTACAGAGTCTCTTTCTTTTAACCTTACCAAGAGAACATGGGAAAGGATAAAATTTGGTTTTCATGATTCTTGTCTTTATATCTACATAAACAATTAGAGCCATTAGAACAATTTACCTTTTTATGCAGTCTGCTAGAAACAAGAGGAGATTTCTCTTTTGATTTGATGAAAATTTGTAAGAAGCAGATTGCTGAAATTAAAAATATGGTGGGGTCTTAGGTGACAAATAAGTTTAGTTAATGACAACTTGTGGATTAAAATGATCTAATTTGGCTCTCTAAAGAAATTATACTCTGAAAAAAAGAATTATAAAAGGAAATTATGATTTAGAATAGCTACTGTATTTAAAGTGTGGGAGAAGAGCTAAAGTTCTTGGCTTTTATTAGTCTAGTAAGTTTGGAAAAGATGAGTAAAAATACTGTGGATAAAATTTTGTTCTTAGAATTAAAGCTATTAAAAGATTCACAGACAAAATGTATTTCTATGAAAGATGGGAGGCTATGTTTCCTTGAGTACAAAAGAATTTAGAAGCCTTAACTATATGTATTTAAAAGATGTAGGGCAGGGAGTGTTAAATAAAAGCATTGCACTGGAAATTTCAAACATATTGTAAAAAGAGTGGTGAAATGAGAGTTTTAAAAATAATTTTCATTACATGAACTCTTCCCTACACTATCAGTAGCCTCAAAAACAGTTACGTATATTGAACATGGCTTTATGTTTGAGGTATAAGAACTAAGCTTATTGTTTCACTATGATTCGTAGGACTAACTCTAGAATAAAATAGTTTTTTTTTAATTTGAGTAAAGAAAGTTTTTTTTAATAACTTCTGTTTTAAAGAAGATAAATGTCAATCAGAAGTGTGACTACAAGCACTGACATATATATATGATAAATCCATAAATCTTACTTGATTTTGCGGAATTGAAACACTTGAGCAAAATGTCAGTGCCTAGATGTCCTAAGCAATTTCTTGATTTTTTAAAATTCAGATATTTTTATTTCCCATTTTTAAAAGTTCACATTAACTTAGTCTTGAAATGTGGAAGATTTGTATTTCCAAAATAAGCACGTAAGTGCTCTTTAAAAGTTTTTCCCATTTAAATGTAAATCTAAGGTAATCAGATTACTGCAGTAAAAAAGACAAAAACAGAAAAACATGCTAGGGAACTTTGAAGTGTGCATCGGAGTTTTCAGGAATTGTGATCAAAGTGATCTCTACTCAAGAGGTAAGGTATGGCATGTAGATAGAAAATGTTCAGAATATTTTCAGTGTAACATCTGATGATAAAATGACCTACAACAGATATCCTTGGATTTTCAGACAGATGTAGAATTAGGGAAAGAATTTTTCTTTAAATTTGTCCCAGAGAAGAGCAATGGGTAAACCACAAATTTGTTTGGAGTGAACTTAGGAACATATGTCTATCTACATTGTACTCTCTGTACCTGGCCTACTGTATTCCAGGCATCTCCTACCCTTGCTCTTTTTTTTTAACCCTTGTTCTCTTAATGTTTTTGATCCATACTTAATTTAGTATTTCTTATGCACTGAGCACTGTTAAAATACTGTACTGTACATGGAAAGTTGAGTACATATTTTATGAGGTTATTCCCTGGTTGTTGGTTGTGTATGCTTATTTTTATTAAATGAAACCTAAAATATAGAAAACTGTAGCTGTACTGAGTAATTTTAACTTTGGTTTTAGAAGTTAATTTGAGTTTTAAACATTCACTTTCAGTATTGTTGGCTAGTATATACAAAATTGTTCAGACAAGATTTTTATAAGGTTATTCCATAAGGTATATTAAGTGGGTTCAAAGAATCAAATGTTAGCATCATAATCAGTATATCTAGAAACAAAGGAAATTGTAATATTCAGTACAGATGAGCTAGAAATATGATTTAGGATTTTTTTTCTAAAATTACATTGTTACAATTTACCCAGTAGATGACAATATAAAAACTAATAATCTTCCATCCTGTCTTTTTAATTCTTTTTATAAGAATACCAGCTTGTGGACATTTGGCTTTTACTTAAAATACTGTGCTATCTGTTGTGCTTTTTCCTTTATACAGAGCACATGATTGGGTTGCTATGAACTAGTGATAGCACTCATGACTTCAGTGAGATAGCTCATTCCATGTTCAGGATGCTCTGATGGTAAGAAGCTGATCCAGAATATGCTTCCATGTCATTTTTTTATTTGAAGATTACCTTAGGAATTAGCCAAGTTAGAACCTTCATCTTATGTACAAGATTAATGTCTGAGAATATCACGTGTATTTCTAATATCACATAGTTGATTAAAGGTCTATTGTAGGATTTGAGTCTCTTGAAGGCTCCGATATCTATACTTATCCTGTACTTTATTGCTGCCTCATGTTAGTCCTAGTTCTGGGAACATCGAGCAAGTCTGATTTCCTTCAAGTACCATAGCCTTCAGGTGATTTAAGATGACTCTCATACTGCATCAATTTCAAATGCAGTTTGTTTGGTTTTTTTCCCCCACTAAGCATACTTCCATTTCTTCCTCTTAGGTAGCATGGTTTTGAAATCCTTAAGAGTTTTGTAGATCTTTGAACATGCTTCAGTATATTATTTTTCTTAAGGTGTGACACGAGATAGTACAGGTGTGCTCAGCCTCTGTTTGACCTTGTGACACTCACTGCTTTGTTTATCCTTACATATTTATCCAGTCAGGTGCTTAATGTTAATGAGATTCTCTTGGACAAAAGAGTTTGATATTGATATGCAAATTTTGTTTAAAAAAAAAATCAGGGCAGTATCTTCCAGACTAACATGCACAGTTCAATGGAAAAGAAAATGACTCCAAGTCAAGCCAAGACCTTGAGAAAGCAATCAAAGAAGTGTAATCTTCATTTCAGTTATTGCTTGCTTAATTCTGACTCACAGAGCTATAAATTCTGTATTAAATAGTTTTTATTGTTGTTCAGTCGCTAAGTCATGTCTCACTCTTTGTGACTGCATGGACTGAGCACCCCCAGGCTCTGAGCATCCGCCACCTCTCCTCCACTATCTCCCAGAGTTTGCTCAAACTCATGTCCATTGAGTCAGTTATATCTAGCCATCTCATCCTCTCCCCCGCCTTCTCCTTTTGCCCTCAATCTTTCCCAACATCAACATCTTTTCCTTGCTTTTTGCATCAGGTGGTCAAGGTATTGGAGCTTCAGCATCAGTCCTTCCAGTGGATATTCAGGGTTGATTTCCTTTAGGATTGACTAGTTGGATCTCCTTGCCATCCAAGGAGCTCTGAAGAGTCTTCTCCAGCACCACAATTCAAAAGCATTAATTCTTAATGCAAAATGTTATTTTTCAGATTGTCCTTTAGTAATTTAAGGGGAAGCAGGCCCTTTGGAGCTAAATTGTTGACATAGGACTGACATTGAGACAAAAATGAACTTGTGTTCAGTAACATAATTAAAACTGGAAGTGAAAGGCAATGCTTCAGTGGAAAAGTTTGAGATATACCCCAAACGGCTGAAGATGGTGAAGTGCCCTGGAAGCCTGTGTGGCCAAAATTCTAGTGCAAGCAGTTTCCTGTTGCCTCTTGAAATTTCGTGCAAATACTTCAGCAATGTTGTTTTGGTATAACAGTGTTTTAAGCTACCAGTTAAACAACTTCCCCCCTCCCCTCTAAATTTTAAATTGAGCTCCAGGAAGACATGTATTTTAATACCTTTAAGGTATGAGTAGGTTTGTTTAATGGTTGGTTGCATGTACCTTTAGGGTATGTGTTACCTATTTTTGAGAAATACTCAGGGTGTGTTTTACCTTACCTGAGTTAAAAAGAATTTGGGGACAAATGAACAAGAAAGAAAAGAACGATTTATGTGCCTACTTTGTGCAACTTTTGCTAGGTGAATTACATATATTTATGTGATTAAATCCAGTTGAGCTTTTAGGTAATTTTTTATTTTACACCCAAAGATGCCAAAACTCAGAAATCACAAAATCTGCCCAAGGGCACATAATAAATAAGTAACAAAATTAGCATTTAAAAGAAAAGTTGTCAAAATCTAAAGAATTCTATCATATTGTTGATTGTCAAACATCTTTGCCAAAAAGAATGGATATTCTTAGGAAAATTTCATTTTTAAAAGGGATATTTTACTTAGTATGAATTTTTAAAATGAGAGTAATTTTAGTCTTTACAGAAAAATTCACCAGAAAGTTCAGAATACCTCCCTCCTCCTCATATACAATTTTGCTTATCATAGTTTGCTCTGTTGACATCTTGTATGATATATTTTATAATTCATGAACTGATATCGATACCTTATTATTAAGTGAAATGCACAGTTTAGGGTTCACTCCTGTCATACAGTTCTGCAAGTTTCCTCATATACATAATGTCATGTATCATAGTGTCATACAGAAAAGTTTCACCA